ATTAACAACATTGTAAATTATGTTAGCTTTTTGGTGCCGATAAACTACCCCAGTTATTCATTTCTATCAGAGAAAAACTAATGTTTTGCAACTTTTAGGATGATTCCAAATGCGGGGTAATTTTTCATATAATATTTTCAATGATCCTAGTTTCAAATAAAACAATATAAATATTTGAAGACTCCTGGCGCCATCTGCCTTGTTAATGTCGAGGTTGAATTTAAAATGATGGCAATGAATATGCGACCGATTTGTTGTTTCAATTCCTACACTTTCACTATCGGACTGTAGATGTCGACGTGTTCATTTGGATGATGTGAAGTAACTTGGCTTGGAATATTTTAAAATTTGTCAATTCTTGTTAATAATTTTAATTTTTTATAGATTATTTCAGGGATTTCAAATCAATTTATATCATATTAGACAATGGAAGTCCGAACCAATGAAATGAAATGTGTTCATTTGGAGTAAGCCAGTGATGTAATCAGTATATATTTTTTTATCTGGTCATTGTCTAAGGATTTATCCTTAGACNTGACTGGCAGAACAGAGCAGCTTAAAATATGAGACCACATCAGGGAAGAAAAATCTTTTACGTGTGGTGTACCTCAAGGAATGAACAATATCTTCTTCACAAAAGGAGATTGCGAAATAATAAGCTTCGCAGATGATACTATCATTATATACGAAGATGAAACCTGGCAGAAACTGAAAAAAAAATGAAAATAACCTTCTTCGCATTATAAAATGGCTGAATCATAGACTGCTTTCGATAAACCTAAAAAAAACCTTTACCTACCTTTTTGCAGCAACAAAACAGTCTTCCGCCTTTCAATCAAATTACATTGGATGATAACTTCACCATATACTCTCAGCAAATAAAATCCTTGGAATTATAATTAATAAACATTAAAAATGGAACCCAAGAAGGCCTGTTAGACATCGTAGTTCATCCCTACTGCAGTCCAACAACTGTTTGGTATCAAGCTTTGAAGAGTGGATAAACGCCTTGTAGTGAGCCAATCCTGGAAGATTCTGCCAGAAGTCTGCTACCATTTGCTACCAATTTAAACGTTGCTCGGTAGGAGCCAAGAGCTTCCAATGCCGCTTGACTGTCCGAGAATATTTTTATTGACTTGTGTGTGAGGTTGGATTTACCCAATCTCTCCGCACACAATTCATTAGCGTAAATTTCCGCTTGAAATACAGTCGCATAAGTTCCTAGGTCTGCGACTAAAAACACCTGCACCAGAACCGGAAGATGTTTCTGATCCATCTGTGAATCAACAACTATCTGCTCTTAATATTTCCTTCTCCCGGAGGATCCAGTCCTCTCTACTTGGGAATAGTACTTTATAAGGCAGTTCGTAGTTGACAGTTGGAGGCATAATGACGGAGGTCATTTCCAGAATGCTGTGACTTCCAGTGTCAACTAACAGCCTGTTGCACTCTGCATTTGATTGATTTGTGCAATTGGCAATATGCACAAGTCTGTATGCAGTCCATCTAGCCTCTCTCTCCAGAAAAATGTGGAGAGGAGGTAGATCTAGAAGGATCTCCATGGCCGCTGACGATGTGGTACTGATGGCACCAGTGATAGCCAGACAAGCCTGTCTTTCCAATTCACACCACGCTGTATGGTGTGAATTGGCGTCACATCCCATTACAATTTGAGTGAGTGTTGAGTGAGTGACTTTCGACATTATAAGTATAGAATTTGTTGCAAAAAATCAGCACCAACCTTCACATTGAGAAAGATATTTTTCAACAGTACTAAAATAAAATTGCTGTTTTTTCTGTTTTTAACTAGGGCTCCTTGAATAATTGATTGATTTGAAAGAATGCCTCCAGAAATGAACCTCTATTCTAAATTGTTAATCATAATTTCCTCTATGCTATTAAAATATTGAACAATTGAATGATATGACGCATTCATCTTCAGGATCTCTAGGATACTACTTTCTTTGGGTTTTTCAATTAAATGTTCTTGCCTATTATTATTATTAATTTGGTTTTCAAAAAATACTTTATTGTGTGATTTTCACTAAACAGTTTACAAAACAGCAACACGTGTTTCGTTATTCAATAAGTTTCTGAAGCTTTTTCATACTTTGAGAATGCTGTAGATTCAATTATCTGTGGATGTAGATCATTCATAACATATAATTTTTTAAGCACAGTAGATTGTAAAACAGAAAATAATACACACATAATCTGGCTAACAAAACCACAAAAAATAAATATAATAAATTACAAACTGTGGAAGGGATAGCAATTTTCACATAATCTAATTTGGAGCCAGTATAGAAAAAGTTAGACCGGATTGGCAGCTATTTATGCTCAAGGTTTTCTTTCATTAGAAAAGTCCATATCTGTTCTAAACACTGAAATGAAGAAGTTGAGAGGAAAGCTCTCAGAATTTTCGCTTGTTACTGTCTTCAGATGAAAAGTGAAATGGTCAAACTAGTTACTGTTAGGAGAGAAAATCATAAAATAAAGAGAAATAACAGAATTTAATAATGGGAATTGATTAAAAATTCATTTCAAATATTGTTCCACATTTCAATATAGTTTTAAATAGTAATTTCCAACAAGTATTCCTATTCTAGATTCTGTGTCTTCTTTATCATTAATTTTCTTCTGGATCCAGTAAATAAAGAAAACGATTTCACAATAACCGTCTTTTATTTATTAAATTAAAATTTTACTTTTGAACACATTCAAGTAGCATTCCTGAAGTCTTTCTCGAGAAAAATGTATACATTTTGAAAATTATAGAGTCCTGTGAGCAACATGTCTGGCCAGAGAATTCTTAAAAATAATTAGAAGACTGACATCCATGAAAAAAATCTCCATTTTTTTTCTAGAGGACATGAAGTATGGAAGACGTTCTCAGTACTGCAGGACTCTTTAAATACACCTATAAATTAAAAAAAACTAGCTGAAAACATGAGGGCACATGTTCTGTGAATATTTCAAATCGGCGAAGAGTTGAAAAATATTTGGCAGTTGTGTTACTATAATGTTTCAAATATACATTCTTGCACTAATTGTGAAACAAAATGTCTACAGTACACAAAATGAGAGATGGCTAGTGGGAGATCAGAATGCTGTGCAAACCAAGGGTCTGTGTTTACTTTTACTTCATTACTACCTCAATACTGCACTGTTCTAATATAGTTATCAATTGATCACAAGTAATAAAATGCAATCAATAGTTCTAATTTTGTGCAGAATTACAGGATGATGTGTATAACCGGCCATGGTTATACACATCAACTATTTTAATATTTTTATGGAAATGTATTTTCAATTACCATAGGTTAAAAGTGCTGTGGAGAAATTTTTTTCAAATTTTGCTCAAAAAAAGAGATATGATATAGAAAAGAACAGAAATTCCATACAGGAAGATTTGATATTATATTGGGTAAAAAAGTGGGTTTTCAATCAAATGAAAGCTGGAACGAATTTACAAGTGGTTGCATGTTTCATACTCAACTAGTCATTGAAATAAATTTTCAGCAAAATTGATTCACAAAATAAAACCGGTCACTTGCCGAACACAGTTTGTATTGTAATAGGAAAAGAGGTATGTGACAAAGGGCAAAAGCATCTTGCCTTACGAAGCACCATCTATGATATCGAGAAACAATTCGACCCACGTGGCATGCCTGTCAAAAATTATTTATGGGCGAATTTTTGGTATCTTAGATTACATTGTTGCAATTTTCATAGGCATCTTAATTTTTTTCAAATAAAATGCAAAACATTAAGTACGTGCTACTAATGTAACTTTCTGTTTTAAAATCATTTAAGTAATAAGAAACACAGAAATCGATTTCTCAATCGGTAGTCGATATCGAAGCTTGTTTTTGTGAAAGACCGCCCCTAGGAACCTCGTTTATCATTGATATTTGTGGTTTGAGATTTATGTCAATCCAACAAATGACATCTTCGTCATGTTCAAAATATTTTTTGGGACAAAAGGGTTACGGTGGCTTAAGCCAATAGGGATACTACTTTGCTTTGATCAGCTAGAACTGAAAAATATTTTAGTCATTCAAAGATAAACTTTGCCTGACTCAATTAATGGTTTTTGTAAATCGAGTTTAGTTTGGTCATATATTTTTTTCTAGGGTGCTTGGTCATTAGCCTCGTGTTTTTGGTGGGTACTATTAATAATTCCGCGAGCCACCAAGGAAGCATCATGGCTATTCCCAGTCTTTCAGGCATGTAAGATTGCACAATCATCCTAACTCCAACTAGATGAATTCTCTCGAGAAAAGTATCTAGTCGAGGTTGGGATCAGACTCACAACCTTTCGATTGTGAGTTGAGGGCACTACCACTGCACCAATTCACCGATAGTCAAATATTTGTTTGATCAAATCACAGAATTAATTTCATTTTATCATACGAAAGAAAACAATTAAATGTTCAACATTTCTAACATCTCACTTACTGCGTTGAAAAAAAGGTAATGATTATTATCACTACCTACTGTCAATATATTAAAAGGACAGTTT